ATTTTTATACACAAACCCACATTAACACGCGCGTGTATGTATATATATATATATATATATATATATATATATATAGGTTCTCGCCTAACATTCTTACATGTTTAAATTTTTTGGGCTGTATTTAGGTTGCCACCTAGTCCAATTGACCCCTAAATATAATTCAGCAATTTAAATTAATCCTGAATTTGATTGTTGTTTAACATTGATGTGAATAACTGTTATACATATATTAAAGGAGATATACGAGTCGACTTCATGTCCATTAGATTGAAGAGTGTGAGGTTGGGGTTAAATTTAAGACCAATTTAGTAAAATAAATAATATAATTTTGAATCAAATTTAAACTCAACCCATAAATTTGATTTGACACTTATTTTTTTAAAATTTATTTATATTTAATTTAGAGTTTCATGGAATAATACTGTGCAAAGTGACAAGGGGGAGTTACTGTTGGTTTTGTCGAGTCGGAGAGAGACATATAAGAGAGTGGCGAACTTCCAAATCCGAAACCCACACGAGCGGTTTCCTTTTGAAACTGCATGCGATTCCCAAACTCTCAAAAAGGGGGAGTTAGAGAAGTAGATCGGGAAGAGGAAGAAGAACAAATCATAAAAATACCGTTTTTATGTTTTGAGAGGAATTTTCATCAGAACTCCTGCGCTGGTTTGGATTTCACGAAGGAGAGGCTATTCCTCCCTTGTTCTTCTGTTTCCCGAGGCTTGATCAGTTTGTTCTGTCATTCGCTCTGTTTGCAATATCGTCTCGTTTCTGCTTTTAATCTTTTATCGAAGATCAAAGCAATCCAGAAAGAGAAGAAAAAAAGATTTATACTTTGAACCTTTGCGGGTGTCTTTTTATGGTATTTTTCTGATAAAGTTATAAGAAGGTCCAAGTTACAACCTTTTTTGCGATGGTTCGAGGTTTGAGAAGCGTTTCCACCTTTTCCCCCTGAAAACTAGGATTTGAATCCATGGAGTTCTCATCTTCATTGTTTGCTTCTCTGTTTCCCACAGTCGAGCGAGAAGGAAGAAGAAGTGACGCAGTTTTGACATTGGAGGAGCATCGGATGATGGAAAGCTCGGATTTTGAAGGTTTGAGCGAGAAGAATTGTCGGATTGAGGAGCACGAAGGAATAGAACTAGAGAGCGGGAACTCTAAGCACTGCGCAAGAGGGCACTGGAGACCAGCAGAGGATGCCAGACTTAAAGATCTCGTTGCTCAATATGGCCCCCAAAACTGGAATCTCATTGCTGAGAAACTAGAAGGAAGATCGGGTACCCTTTCAAAAACATTAAAAGAAAGAACTTTCATGACTATATTACATCTTTTTCATTAAAGTTTGGTTTTTTATCAACATTTGCACAGGGAAGAGCTGCAGGTTGAGATGGTTCAACCAGTTGGATCCAAGGATTAACAAGAAGGCATTCAGCGAGGAGGAGGAAGATAGACTTCTCTCTGCTCACAGGCTCTATGGAAACAAATGGGCGCTTATATCCAGGCTTTTCCCTGGAAGAACTGATAATGCTGTCAAGAATCATTGGCATGTGATCATGGCGAGAAGGCAAAGAGAGCAATCCAATGCTTACAGAAGAAGAAAGCCCTGCACTTCATCCAAGTTTGATAAAAGAATGGAGGTAAAATACAGCAATAATGCTTGCAGTGCAGAGTCCACCATTTCCAGCAATGGATTTGATAACTTGTGTATCAGCAGAGGCTTTCCAGGTCATGGATTCTTAACCAGATATAGCCTCCCACAGCCTGCCCCGCGATTTGAGTACCTCATTGGTACGCTTTATTTTATTTAACTATAAAATATTTCGAGGTTCAAACAACAATTTTTAAGCTAAAAAATCCTTTTTTGTTCAAATTTACCGTTTCTCTTGCTTGCTTCTGCTCGGGCTGATTCTTTTGATCTTTTCACTAATTTTTTTCATTTTTGAGACAGATGGAAAGTTGGCAGAAGGAAGAAATGGATGCTATGAGAGAATTTTTGACCCTACCGTTGAATTACGACAAGCTTCCCCCCTGATTCCAGTGCCAGGGATTCATCACTCCGGATTATCTGATTCAATTTCTGAGGCTTCAGCAACTGATTCAGTGATCAACAATGCTTTCATATCTGAGGAGGCAGAAGAACTTGAGACGGAGAAGATTAGCTTTCCTTTCATTGATTTTCTTGGTGTTGGAGCCACATAGGATCCATAAGGAGTGCTAATATTTATAGGATAATTTCGGAGCGCTAATCAAATGCTGCACCTTTTTCCGTATTGCAGGAGCTCTCCATTCTTCTGTTCTTAAGAATCTTTCTCCTGAAGTTATTATCAAATGTTCTTAGAATCTCTTTGCTTCACTTTTGTTAAACTGTAATGAGATGTTACTGTTTTTTTGTTTTTTTTTTTTTTTTTTGGCTAATTATTTCATAGCTTCGTTAGCTGGCGTGTATTTGTAATCTGTCTTAATCCAGTTGTTGCAATTTTCACGTTTTTCAAGCAACGAGAATTAAACTGTTCTGGCAATATTCACTGCATGTGCATATACGCTGAAGATATAACTCTGTTGAAAGAAATTTCATCTTCTGTTATCTGGAAGAAGCTGAAAAAGCTGAACGAGGCGGAATGAAATATGTTGGCAAAATTCGTTGCCCACAACGTCATCAAGAAGAGGACTGTTACAGATTTTATGGCGGCTTTATCAGGTACGTAAAAAAAGTCATCAACGAATAATATTATGCACTTAATGAAAAAATTATTTAATTTGAAGATGACGGCGCTTAAGATGTTCAATAATGAAGTTGAATCATTGTATTCTTACATATATGAAAATATCTCAAAGTTCTTTCATTAATTTGTTTTTATAGATATGTTTTTGGTTTAAGCCATGAAATGAATTATGTGAAAACTAGTTAGAACTCTTATAATAAATTACATGGTCTAATGATAAATTTAATATTTTTTTAACTTAGTTTTTGTCATTACTTTAAGTTTTAGATCATTAAATTTTATATATTCTTATGGTGAAGAATATTTAATCTTGTAATGCATGATACTTTGTAATAACATACATTTAATGAATATTTGATATTACTTTATGTAATATTGCCATCTTCTATTTAAAATATGGTTCTTTGTGGAACCTTCACATACTGTACATAATTCCTTAGAAATTATAAAATAAATTAATAACTCATCTTATTGACTATTGCATAGATTCCTTAGCTGCAAAGCTAAAAAATTTCTGATATCCAAAGAGAAATCAGAACAATATAATTAAATCACCCTCTTTCACTGCCCAGTTTATACTCTCATGTATTTACATGTCAAAATTTTATTTTATTATTGCCATGTGAAAAATTTGAAAATCTCACAGATTTCTGTTAATGGCCAAACTATGAACCACTCCAAAGCAGCTGCAACCTGTAGCTCTCTACTCAAGGAAGGCAGGAACTGCTTCTGTTCTCTCCTCTGCACTCAAAAGCATCACCACATTCTTAGTCCGTTTTTTCAATTATATATATATATATATATGATAATAATTAGTTGGCTTAAATCATGTATTATTGCATGATTAAATTAATTGACATGCCACGATAACTCTCCCACTTTCTCTTCCTTGTCTGCGGCACAAAATCCTATAATTGTCATGATACCATCAGCGCTCTAAAGGGCCTATATATGGCAAGAGAAAACGATGGTAGAGAGTAAGTAAAGTTCTCTTGTTTTTGTTCTCCTTCCTCCTTTTGCTTACAGCTTGCTGCTCAGACAAGTACTGAAAGAGACTCAGCCCCACCTCTCTCTCTCTCTCTCTCTCTAACTTGAGCTTTAAAAGCTTCGCCTCCTCAATCATGGCGGTGAATAGTTCTCCCTCTGTGACGAGTAAAAACTTGAAAAGAAGACCACAGACTGTTTATTTGACAGGGAGGTGAAAAGATGCTCCCCTGTCATATCTGACCCCATCTCTCAACCGAGCTCAAGAAAAAAGAAAAATACAAATTAATAAATAGCTCTCTCCGCCAAGAAAAAATATTATATTAGAATTTCACATTTAAAATTATATACAGAGTCTAATAAAATTATAGAGCTAACCTAAAAATAATAAGTCTGATAATATGAGAGAATATTTCTCAAGTATTACTCTTTATTATTCAGGTGTTATAATATTTTATTCATGTGTTATTGTGTTATGAGAATATTCTTAGAGTTATAATAACATAATAATACGTTAATAACACTTGAATAACATATAATAATACCTAAATAATATGAAAAAAATATTTTTTTTATGTTATCAGACAAATTTATTTTATTTTTGTAACTATCATGTGATGTGATTTCATTAGACTTCGCAAGTAGCTCCCCGTGCCGATCTTTTCTCCCCAAGATTTTCGGTCCTATTAATTTTTAGGGCATTTACATGCAGCCCCCTCAATTCATGTGAATTTGCATATCTAACATTTAAAGTGTCTTTTTTTATATCTTTGACGCCCCTAAACTTTCATATAATATTAAAAACATCATTATTCTAACTTTTAATAAGATATCTTTTTCATATATAATGGCAAAGATATGTATGTAAATCTTTCCTATTTTTAAGGTGGGTGAAGCATCGTTGGTTCTGAGTTATAAATAATGGTAAAGATATAAATTTTAATTAAAATTGTAAACTTTGTATATAATTTTATGGATTTTGTCATGACACGACATTATAGTTTGTCAGATTTTATAATAAATTTGATCGTGTTGATCATTTCAAGAACCATATTAATTGTACTATCATAATTAATTTTAGGGATTTTTATCTATATAGCACTCAAAATTTTTATTTTTACATATCTAACACCTAATTTTTTTATAATTATAAACATTATATGAACCATCTTTTCATCCATAATTAAAGTATTGTGTGTGTAAAAATGAAAATTTAAATGTAAGATAGATAAATCTATCAGAATTGGATGCATGTAAATTTCTCTTAATTTTAATTGACGCTGACATATGTACATTTATTTAAAGTTTATACACGATAAAAAATGGATTAACTTATAACTCATGACAACTAAAGGCTTGTTTGGGGCAGTTTATAAGTGCGAGAGTGTTTTTGAAAACACTGCGGCAATGCCTTTTGGATAGAGTGTCTTGTCCGCTTATCCGAAAACGCGGTTTCATTTTTATACTAAACGCAAGCCACACGGGCTGAACCCCGCGGGCTGCGTTTCAAGGATATTTATCCTGAAATGCACAAGCTGCCCAAACACGCCTTAAATAATTAATTTAAACTGAACATGATTATGCATTCATTTTTTAGATTTTATCAAGAAATGTAATGCTGAAGCTTTCCCGAAAATGTTATTTGGTTTATTATTCTTATTCGATAAAATTATACATTAATATTGCATAAGGATCAACTTATGAACTTTGCGTTTTAATTAATTAGTATGGGAAATTGATTAAATCTAAATCAACTTGACTTATTTGCGATTATTGTGGTTGTGATATCTATGGAATGCTTTCCAAAAAGTAATGAGCTTTATACAAACTTCTTCATAAATTAATATGAGATTTTTAGATTTGTTTATGTTGGATCCAAATCTGTCCGGGAGACATATCTAATGAATAAAGCGTTGAAGAATGGGAGGGAGAGAGAAAAAAAGCGCAATAACTTAGTAATGAAGAGTAAATTTGTGTAACTTTTATTCATGAAATGGACTCCTTATTTATAAGAGTTGGTCATAACGATTGCTTGTTTTGCCCCTATAGTACATAGGTACGAAGAGGATATTTTAGTTTATACATAAATATGACCCACGGTGTCCATTAGGTCGGGCAACCATCAAGTCAGACGGTTGTGAGGTCAAGCGGTTAACAAGTCGAGCACTTGTTGGGGCGAGCAACCGTTGGGCCTGGCGGTCATCAAGTCGGGCAGCAGGGCCGAGCAACTACTTATAGAGGGTCAACGTCAAACGCTCTGAAACAAGAGGATCTGTTTCACTTTCTCGGTCTATCTAGGTTGAACAACGCCAGGTTTATTAGAGTGAATCTGGTCAGATAAATTCTTCGTGGGGTGATTTATCATTTATTCGTGTAAGACACTATCTTCCTAGTACGCGGTGGCTGGCGGGCTGAATTCATGGTCCTTGGTTGTCCTTTGTAGGTCTAGTGAGACCACATCACTCTTTCACCATCTATGAGATGTCTTTGCAATTCATGCTAACACATTTTTGTTGCATAGTTGTGATGTGGAGCTTAGAGGAGCACCCACAGATATAGAAGAAGGGATTCCGACACCTCGATTCACAATATGACTTGTGTAGCTCCTACACCAACTAGCGGCGTAGCTACGCCGTAACTGCTTTGAGTCCTTCGATTCTTGACTTCGAAACATAGAGCACGCAGAATAATTACATTGATGAGCGATGTAGTGTTATCTCTTATGTTCAAATTAAAGTCCTTGATTCAGAGCAACGACAACACGTACGCACACGGTGAACTCTTGAAGGGCTACATGAGTGGTGAAGTTTGAGTGGCAGAATTTGGAGCTTGTAATTTCTCTTATGAGATCAAGAGAGGATTTACAACAGTATTCTTGTAAGCTCCAGTATTACAGAGAGAATATTTGAGTGATGTGATATTTACTTTCTTCTTTTCATAATAGATTTTTGGTGTTGTGTGGCTCTATTATTTTTTCTTAATCTCAGGTTTTCTTCATGTTAAATCTTGGTGTGCTTTTTGTGATTACTTTGTTACGTGTTTCTATTCAATATTTTATTTCAGCTTTCTTGAATTAGTGTGATTCTATTATGATAGTGTGGTTTGGATTGGAAATTGATTGAAACCCTTATTGTTCCTCATCCCAACAAGATCTAACTTTATAAGAAAATAATGTAACCGTTAATTATGCCAAAAAAAATGTTCATGCAACCTTAAAAAATATAACTTATTATGTAATGCCTGAAACTACTGCGAAGCAGAAGACAATCACATAATTGTACATTTCTCTCAAGTAATAAATGAATTTGTGTCTGTGTATCGATCTCACAATAAACTTGTTAAATTTTCTAATTCTTGGAAGTTTTAGTTTATTAAACCCTTAAGTCTAGCCTGGAGTGTTGAAACTTTTACTTTTAAAAAGAGTCTAATTCATAATAATTAAAACTTAACTGTACCTTTGGAGTTTTTCTGATTAGATAAAAATATCATATTTATGTGAATCAATGGTATTCTTCCAATGAGTTCACCACATTAACATTTTCCAATGAGCTCACCACATTAACATCGACAAACATACCATTTTTAGCTTCTTTCGAGGTCATAGAAGTGTGGAAACTCATGC